AATATATTCTGCTCATAAAAAAAAGAAATTGTTCTTGTAGAACATACCTATACAAACAAGCTCTTTTAGCCCTGTATGGACATGTGATTTACAGTACGATACGCTGTGAAATTCTGGATCATATGAGTGTCTCAGTTTCTCTTCTCTCATTGCTGGGACAAATACTTGACACTCGAAATGAAGAAAGGAAAGGCCTAGTTAGCTCACAGTTACTGAAGGTTTAAGTCCATATTCAGCTGGCTCTGAGGCATACTGACATAGGGCAGAGAGCAACCTTTCATGGCTGTTTTGTGGCAAAGAGAGCAAATGGGAGGAGTAGTGGCAATGGCGGCTACAGAGAGGAAGTCTGTCTGCCTTAAGTTGCATTCAGGCTATCTGTCCCAGGCTGTGTGTAGCACTCACACCCATAATCCACGTAGATCATGAGTTAATCACAGACTCTAGAAGTCTGCCTCATGACTGCATGAAGCTTTGGGGGGACAACCATAACAATGAGAGATAGCCATGACCATCTTGACTAGCACTGGTAACCCCTCAAAAGCTGAGATGTTGATGGCATGTGTCAGTGCATGATCATTTTTCACAAATATCACACTAGTCTCTTTGGCAGCAGAAATATGAAGTTTCACCACCTGAAGAAGAACTAAAACTTCCACCTTTCAACACAATGGTTGAGCTAGGTATGGTGGAGCATGCCTGTAGTCCCAGCACTCTGGAGGCTAAAGCAGGAGGATCGTTGTGAGTTCAAAACCTGCCTTGGCTATAAAATGAGGTTAAGGCCAGCCTGAACTGCATAATGAGACCTTGTATCAAAACAAACAAATAAACAAACAAAGACAAGAAACACAGTGACCAAAGTATAAAAAATAGGGTAAACATTTAAATAGAAAGTTATAGAAGATACTTTTCAAGGTTTGCATTTTCCTTCCCATCAAATAAACAAATGGTTCACAAATAGAAGCATTTGGCAAAATTTTGTTTGTAAACTCTGCATCAGATGACAAATAGATCACAGCTATCTTCCTTTCCTGCATGGACATGAATGTGACCATCTTTTCCAAAATTGTGGAATGAATTAAGTTTGTGAACCAAGGTACCACTGTAAGTATGCACAGATACAATGGGACAGACAGACCCATGTGACAATTATTGAAAACACCTGGTAAGTATTTTCAAATTTTTTCTCCCCAGATTCTGATGTGCCTTCTTAGACTTTGGGGAATAGCCAGAAGTTGTGCCACTTTTAATAGTTCATTTATTCAGTAAATATTTACTGAGCACCTTTGAGGTGCTAAAAACATTATCACAGTTTGGAAACTCAATGAACAAGATCAGGCAGACAATTTCCTTATGGAGTTTTAATCTAGAATAAGTGAGAAAGGAGGAGTGAAACACTGATCATGTGACTACACAGGGCAATCAATACTATGAAGGACAGGTGTTAGTAGTGCTAGTGATTTATTTCAACTGTGGAAGGGTGAGGTAGTGGGGGAAAGCTTCCACATACACAAAAGAGAGGCTCTGGGTTTTTTGTTCTGTGATTTTTTTAAGACAGCATCTGGCTACATAGTTCAGACTCACCTTGAACTCACTATGCGGCCTAGGCTGGCCTTGAAACTTGCAGTGATCTTCCTGAGAGGCTGTAGTTTGAAGGAAACTGTGAAGGTCAAAACCTATGCAAGGAAGGGAGGAGGCCTGAAATACTGTTGTGCTGCTAGGTAGCTCCTTCAAAAAGCGGCTTGCCAAATGAGCATTAACAAATTCTGGGTTGCTCACCTCTTCTTCTGGAGTTGGATTCCAGGTTTTTCTCATCTTCAACAAAGACCCAAACTGAGCAAAAAGCAGTGGTAACATTGACTTCAAAAAGTAAAAAAGTTACAGAGGAACTGTCCCTGCAGTACAAGCTTGGGCCAAGTAAAAGAGGAATAAGTAAGCTAAGAGAACACCCTGGAGAAAGCAGAGTGGGCCATTGTGAGGGAAATATCAATAGCAGGCTCCTCATCATCTGCATCCTCATACGCAGTCCAAATCTCAAGGAAACCCATGAGAACTACATTTGGGTTCTGAGAGGCATTTCTGGGATTCCACACCTCAGGCTGACTTCAGGTCTAGACCATCCTATTGCAAACCTGCTTGAAATCTTGTAAGAAGTCCACATGCAGGGCTTTGGGAACTATTCTGCCTATGAGTCCAGAATCTTGTAATTAACAGGCACATCTACTTCCCCAGTCAGCGTTGCCATGCCCTAATCTTGTCTCTTAGCTGGAGATGTTGCAAGGAGCCCAACTGTGGAAAGCCTTGTAGACTTCACTGAGTTTTTATCATTTCAATCAAAGTTGAGGGTGAAAAAGAGCAGAAAGCACTCCTAAATCAGTTCTTTAAATACTGAACTGATTAAGAGTAAACTGTTCCTTTGTATCTTTAGTCTTCTCATTTATTTTTCCCCTTAACTGTAGACTGAAGAAGATTCATGACATCAGCACTACTTAAGTGTTCCATGATGTATACCACCCCCTCTGAAGATTTTAATTGCTGGCCAAGACTTATTTTGCTCTGATAGAATCTGTTCTAATTCAGTTCTGCAATTTTGGAACTGAATGATTTCAGATGTATTCTCATTCACCTGCATCTCTACTCAAATTTAAAGCATTCTGAACCATGTGTATAGTTCTCTAAAAAGCGAGCTTTTGTTAAAATTGATTTAGAATTTATGCGTGCATGTATGGGGGACTGGGAGTAGAATTTAGGGTCTCAGCACTGAACTTTGTCCCCAGCCCTTTTTCTTTGAGACAGGGTCTTGCTAAATTGCCCAGGCTGGACTCAAATGTGAGATCCTCCTGCTTCAGCCTTGAGAGTAGGTGGGGTTACAGGTGTGTAACCCCAACATGCCCGCAGACTAGACCTCTTCTTGCATATGTTAAATGTTCCTCTATGCCAGCGCCCTGGTGGTTGGGAGAGGAATTTCTTGGAGATCTTTTTTAGGGGTCTGTGAGGTCAAAATTTTACTTTTTCAAGCTAGGGTCTCCATGAACTCCCCTGTGTAGCCCAGGCTGGCAGTACATCACCATGCTCAGAACTATTTCTTTTTTTAAAGTTATTTTGTACAGGGTGGCACTACCAGGAATTATGCTCCAGGCAGGTGCATAGACCACTGAGCTATCTCCCCAGATCCGAAAGGGTTCTTAATTTCTGGGAGTGTAAAAGGACCTACTGATACAATGCAATCCCTATTCCAATATGGACCCCTGGTGCCTGCCCCAAAGCTTCCAGCTTTCCACGATTCAGAACTTTTTCTTGTGCAGTGATTTTCTCTGCCCAGACTCAACTTTTAAAATTTCTGCCCGCCAAATTCCTACCCAAGAGCGTTTAACCTTTTTGTTTTTTTTGGCGGAACAGGGCATTGAACTCAGTGCCTCGCGCTTGCCAGGCAAGCGCTTATTCTACTGAGCCATCTCCCAGGCTCATTCTCATTCCTGTTGGAGAACATGGGGGTGGGGTCTCCCTATGACATTTGGTTTTCACAGCAAGAGCTGAACACGAGGCCAACCAACCCGGCATAGCCGCCGTCTTCGCGACTAAGAAGCAGCGCTGCCGCTAGGGCCTAACTAGGCTGGTCAAGTCTAAGGGTAATTTGGAAACAAGACGGAAAGGCGCAAGGAGTATGGGCGGAGCCAGGCGGACACAACACAAACAAGAGGAGCATGCACGCCCGCCGGGTTTCCGGGCGCCACCCTAACCCCCGCGTAGGGGTGGAGCCACGCGCCCGCAGAGGGCGTGGCCGCCAGCCCGCGGGAAAAGGGCCGTCGCCGCATGCGCGCGCTCAGTCGGCGGCCGCGCGCAGCAAGCTTTGGGCGCGGATGGCGGCGGCGGCTAGCAACGGGACGCCCCGAGAGGAGGAGGGGCCCGCAGGGGAAGTGGCAGCCTCGCAGCCCCAAGCCCCGACGAATGGGCCCGGGGTTCGACTCTCGAGGCTGCCTCTGGCGCGAGTGAAGGCCTTGGTGAAGGCGGACCCCGACGTAACGCTCGCGGGACAGGAGGCCATCTTCGTTCTGGCGCGAGCCGCGGTGCGGCGGGAGCGCGAGGGCTCTCGGGGAAGGAAGGGCGCGGCGCGCGCGAGGGGTGGAGCGCCCAGGGGCGGGGCTTGCTAAGGACCCGGAAGTGGGGATGCTGGGGCCCGCGCGTTCTGAGGGCTGACAGGAAAAGCTGAGGAAGAGGGGCGTCAAGTTATAGATAGGAGTTGTGTCGGTTAGTCTCCTACCTCTTTATGAGCGCTGGTTGAAGTCTCTAACTTGGCCCGTGGCTCATACAGATCTTGTTGGGATGTAGTGAATGGATGAGTGGATTTACAGGTAACTGAGGAAGGAGGCTTAATGGGGAGTGCGAGGCAGAGGGCAACCTTGGCTTCTAGAACCTCTCCCTGTGACGGAATTCACTTCTTTCCCCACCTAACAGGAATGCTCACCTCTCAGTGGCCAGGAGCCCATTATCATTCCTTTGCTTGTTTTCATTGCAGGAACTGTTTGTGGAGACCATTGCAAAAGATGCTTACTGTTGTGCACAACAAGGAAAGCGGAAAACCCTCCAGAGGAGAGATTTGGGTAGAGTGTCACTGGGTGACTGGGGGTAGACCAGACTGACTGGGCCAGGCTTATCCTTTGTTAGCTGAGGAGGCATCACTGAAACTTGGAAGTTTGATTGGACCCCTTTTTGACATGCGGAAATTTTGATGTTCTGTGCCACACTCTTCCTGCTTTGTTGCCAAACTCTTCTCTGATGCTCAGAACAAAGGGAATAGTTGAATTGAGGTGTAAGACCTCAGTTGTAAGAGGGTTCTAGTTTTTCCAGTGATGGAATGGTTTGCTTGGCTTTTTTTACACCTGTAGAGAAACAGCAAACATATAGGAGTTAGTGATGCCCCGGGAATATATCTGAAGACAGTGAAGAACATATGTGATATAGTCCTATGCCCTTTATTGTGTGGATTGTGGTGTTTGGGGGCTGATGTTCAAATGACTGGTGTTAGTAAGGTTTGCCCTTACCCTGTGTTTCAGATAATGCAATAGAAGCTGTGGATGAGTTTGCTTTTCTGGAAGGTGAGTTCTCTATTGGAGACAATTATTTCTTAGTCATTTCCATGCTGATAGTGTGAGTTTAAAAACAGATGCCTGGTTCTCTCTTGTTTGTGTAGGGGTAATTCTTTGTGCTTCCTCTTGGGATAGAAGAAACTGACTTGTTTAGTGAGATTCAGTTTCCACCTTTGGGTAATTAGAACCTCTGCTGGAAAATTGCTAACCATAAAAAAGTGGGACAAAATACAAAAACACTGGTGGAGTTAGTTGGATTCAAAAATGATTCCTGCTAGGTTTCCATCTGAAGTATAAATCTTACTCCACCGTCATAAAGTTAGAGACCAGAAACAATTGTCAGCAATTAAAATGCCACCTTTTTTGTTTTTTTCTTTTTCAGTAGTCCACATAAAGTGATTATTTTGCTATAGGGAGATTATCCATTTGCCTGTATCTGTTCTTAGGAATTTTGGGTTAATTTGGGCACTATCTGAATCTTGTTGAAATAGCAAATATTTGAAACATTCCCTTAAATTTTTTTTTTTTTTTCCTTTTGAGACAGGGTCGTGATATGCAATTCAGACTTGCTTTGAACTCACTTTCTAGCTCAGGCTGGTTTTGAACCCTTAATTAACTACCTTCTCTCAGAGCAATTTCTGTTTCTTAATACCTAAATCTTACTCTTCAGTTCATAAACCTGATTGAATAGCTTTTTGAAAGCTATGTGCCATCAATTCATTGTCACCTTTACTCTAACAGGGTGTTTTTGTTCTCTCCTTTAAGCATCATGATTACCCTAAGTTTCTTCATCATTTATTTTGGTCTTTTTACTATTATGTTCACTGTCCATCAACCTAGGTATGTGGCACTTTTGAAATATACTTTTTAAGTGTCTGTAAAGATACATTCCCATGGCAAGTCTAGATTAATGAGGATTCTCTTACTTGTAGATCTTTGTTTAGCCTCTCCTAGTTCCTACTAATTTTTCCTAAAAAATAACTTCTGTTATTGTCCCTTTGTTTTATAGCCAATTGTCAGCCTTTACAGTGTTTGAAATGTATTCTGTGGTTATTTGGTACAGTGTCACATTTCATTGTGGGGTTCAAATTTTTCTGTTACTGAAGTTCTTTTGTCTGCTTATTTTATCAGGTACTGGGAGCAGTGTCTTAAAAGTGTACCACTATAACCAAAGATTACTGTATTTTGATGTACACTTTTGGATCTATTTTTCATTATATAAGACCATGTGATTAGATGTATACAAATTTATATGTTCATGATTGTTTAATATTTATAAATTTACTATCAGTTTCACTTTGATGTATAGAGATGTAGATTTCTTTTTGTGTAGTTCATTTGGACTCTTAAATCTGTGATCTGATGTCTTTCATATGCCTTGGAAATTCTTAGCCAGTATCTCTTCAGATATTTACTTTGTTCTTGCTTTTCCTTTCTCTCTGGGATTCCTATTAAACATATATAAAGATTCATACCAAATCTTGCTTTTCTCTAATCTTCTGACGTTCAGTTTAATTCTCTTTAGTTCTTTCATCCCTTAATTTTTTTTTTCTGTTTAGTTTCAGTATTATGTTTTTCAATACTGTGAGTTCTATTTGGTTCTTTTAAAAATCTGTTTTACTCTTTTGTATTTGCTACAGAGCCTTTGAAGCTTGTCTTTTATTCCTTTAAACAGTAAACACAATTGTTTTTGGTCCGTGTCCAACCTAATATCCCATGTAATATTCACAGCTTTTTGAAGCTTTTGTAGTCAGTCCAATCCAGTGTGCAATCTTTTGAATTTGTCTTTCTTGGTCTGTTTATTCTCTTTGTACTATCTTTGGACACTGGCTGTTACATTTGAAAAAAATTATTTGTAGGCTAATTTGAGGCTGCGTAGTCCCAAGGTGGATTTCATTTACTCCTGTGAAGTTCCTAAGGGCATTATCAGTCTCCTTAATCAGGATCTAAAAGGAATGTTTTTGTACTATCATGGTGACACAAACCCAAGAGTGCAGGTAGATGAGTTAATTTTGGTTCACCCTACTCTGAGGGTGTCACCTTTTGTAATTCCAGCAGAAAAGAAGGGCTTATTAGACCTCCCCACTAAGGCAGACAGTAAAGTTTGACGCTTAGTTCCATCAGCTTGCCAGAATCGCTTGACATTTTCTCAGTGCTGTCTTTCAGATAGGCATATGCCTTCAGGGCAAAAAGGAGCTTGGGTACGAGGCTTATTTTATGTGTATGCCATCTCCAGCCTTTGGATTTTGCCTTTTCTTCTTAATTATTCAATACCAAAGATTTTCTTAATTGTTTCTTTCTATTTAGCTTTGTCATTTGATCTCAGTAGGAACTTGGCATTTCTGAATGCGTGCATATTTTTTTTTTTTAATATAAATTAGAGACCTTTCTGGTTTTTCTTTTTCCTGAATTATGTTTCATTCTAGGACTTATAAATGAATTTTGTTTTCTCCTTTTACTTGTGTAGGCCTTCTTCCAGTACCCAGTGATTTTTGTTCTATTTAGAGTGGGAGAGTAGGAAGGCTTTTTGGAAGCTGTGCCTGTGCAGTAGCAGGAGAGGTGGTTGTTCCCTGGCACCTTTAGGGTGAACAGGAGTGTGGTGTACACCAGGGCTTCCAAAGACCAGACTGCAGAATGGTTTGTTGCAGGAGCAGCATTGTGCGTAGAGTCTCTCCCCTCCTGATGATTCATTTGCTTTTTACAAGACAGTGCTATGCTTTTATTTTATTTTTTCTACACATTAGGTTTTGCACAGAGGAGCATAGTGAGGAGAAGGTGGGGGCAGCTGTTTGCCATTCAGAAACATGGGTCGTTAACCTGCTTTCATGCTACATATCTCTTCCTGTCTCTTCTGGTGACTTGGGTCGAGAGCCTCCCTGTGGTTCTCTTAGGCAGCTGAGCTCCCCTTTTTGGTGTAGCCCCCTCTGTGTTCTTCCAGGCTCATTTTCCCTGTTTTATTTATAAACTAAATTCAGATTTTGGTAATTCATATTTTTTTTAACATTAGTTGCTGGTGGCTCTCCTTTCTTGCAATTTATACCTTTTAAAAACCTATTTTCCTTATGAATATAAATTTGGGCGGGATGACATACAGCTTGTGGGCTTAGTCTCTATCTTAAACTGGAACTGTTTGAAAAGATTATAAGCTTAGAGAGATTATTTTATATATTTTATATCTCCCAGAGTATGGTCTCTGTGAATGCTTAGTTAGGCAACACTCCTACCACTTTTCCCACCTCTGATTCTAATTTCTAGATTGATATGCTCAATTTTTAACTGCTTTCATTTGATTATGTCCTTTTTTTCCCCATGGGTATTTTTTAGATAACTGTTCCTCAGAATTGGAACTGTTGCCAATTCCAAAACCCCTTCTATTTTAACTTTCCCAGTTTGTTATAATAATCCAAATGTTGATAAAGCCTTGCTTTACACATTGCTCTTTGTATTTTAGGTACTTTGGATTGATTGCTCAACTGGACAGTTTCAAGAATCTCTGCATCTTTCAGTTCAGCCCTCTCTAAAGGCCTCAGCTTTGAAGAACAGGGCCTCTGCACACATATGTCCTCTTCCTGTTCTACCTTTACCTGAACTGACATAAGCAAAGATCTCATCTGACAGCTTCTCACTACAAGGTCTTCCACTAGTGTCCGTCTTCCACTTCAGGCCTGGAAGCAGCTGCTGCTGCTTAGGGCAGAAATTGTTCTGTACAGGGGGCTTAATAAATGATGAGGCCCAGAATAAAGGTCTCTGGTCAATTTCATTCTATGTTTTGTTTTATAATCTTTATGATTGGTCTTCATGCCCCATGATGGAAGGGTTACCATGCTGTGGTGCAGACCTTCCCACCTGTCCCTGTCAGCCTTCTATATCACAGTCCTTTCATTTATTTTGTTCACTTTTCTGTCATGTTACCAGAATATGGGTCCAGAATGTATGGAATGGCCTTTTTTCTGGAGTCAAATAAATGTCCTGTACTGAAAAACAGTTCAAGTTTTTTTTCTAACAGTTTTATTGTGACATATTTCATATACTGTACAGTTCACAAATTTAAAGTGAACTTGTCCATGGTTTATTAGTATACTTGTGAATACATGCAACTCTTACCACAGTGAATTTTTGGAACATTTTCTTCTGAATGGAATGACATAAGGTAGTGTTTTGGGTCTGGCTTTTTTTCCACATAAGTTTTAAGGTTTCATCATGCTATAGAATGAAAAATTGTGGTAAAGGACATAGAATTACTGTTTCAGCCATTTTTAGGTATATAGCTTAGTGGCATTAACCATATTCATATTGCTATACAAGCATCACCACCATCTGTCTCCAGATGTTTAAAATCTTCCTAAACTCAAACTCTGTATTCAGCTTAATAGTAATTCCTTTTTCCCCTCTCTCCTAGGCCCAGGCTAATTTCTGATTTTAATGAGGTGTGGGAGGTACAGGAAGAAGGCAGAGTTCTTGGGAAGCAGTGGTTAAGGAAAGCATAAGGGTCTTGAACGATGGTTCTTAAGAATGTTTGGATTGAGGACCACTTTGGAGATCAAAGTCCACAGTATCTTTTCTCTAGAATGGTGCACAGATGCTCAGTCCTGTAATATTTAAAAATAAGCTTTATTTGAAATTAATGCTGAGGGCTGAGGATGTAGCTCAGCAGCACATGCACAAGGTCCTGAGTTTGATTTGCAATGTATCACCCCCCCAAAAAAGTGGTAGATTTATAGGAAAGTTAACAAAGACTCCTTATATTTTATTTACCTAGTTTTCCCACTGCTAGCATTTTAACCATTGTCAGATACATTTGTCAAGACTCAGAAAGGAGCCTTTGTAGGTTACTATCCAGATTTTTTTTGGAGGGGGGCAGCTCAGCCCACCCTGGGGGTGGGGCTGGCATGGCATGTGGTGTCGGGGATTAAACCGTGGTCCCTGCACTTGCCTAAGCTTGCCTAAGCAGGCACTTTAGACTGCTGAGCTATCTCACTGGTCCTATTCAGATTTTTTTTTTTTTTTTTTTGGACTTCACTAATTTTCCTGCTAGCATTTTTTTTTGTTGTTGTTCTATAATCCAGGATACTATATTGCATTTATTTGTTATGTGTCTCCAGTCTCTGGTTTGTGATAGTTTCATTTTTTCCTTATTTTTTAATTACCTTGGTAGACTTGACTAATACTGGCTAAATTACTTATAGGATGTTCCCCAGCCTGGATTTGTTTCTTTTGTGATTGATTAGTCTCATAACTTTGCATATGAATTTGGGCATTACACGGAGTACAGGCATTAAAAGGGTATGATGGCTTTTTGTCAGAATTACAGGTTGCAGCTGATACGTGGAATGTGGAATGAATGTGTTGTTACCAGGATTTTTTTTAATACAGCAAAATGACTATACTTAATGGTATACTGTATTTTTGAAAAGAGAATGTTAGATTGTCAGTACTGAAATGTACGTGATTAAAGATAATGTGATCAATTTAAAAAGTACATTAGTATTGAATTCTGTAAAGATAAGTATTTTAATTTTTTGTTTCATTTCTGTTTGTGTACTAGGTCATGGTGTAAAACACATGTGTTAGCAGTTTTGGCCCTCGTGTCTTTCACAGTCCCCACCCCCATCTCCCCATGTAATGCCTGTAAAAAAGATGTGGAGTAAGCATAGTTACTAATTGATAAACTTTAAGATAGGTTATACTGGGCTTTCTGGGAAGACCCAAAGTAATCACATGATCATTCCTTGAAAGCAGTGTTCTGGATAGAAAAGGATGCCAGATCCAAACATAAAAAGCCTGTGACCTGCGGTTGCTGACTGAAGGTGCAGAGCTGTGAGCTAAGCCCTATGAGCAGCCGGCAGGGCTGAGAATGGTGGTGGCCTGCACAGGAACAGCCTCAGGCTAGGATGGTAGGGAACTGAGCTCTGCTAGTCACTTGTATGGTTTTAGAAATGTATTTTCCTGTGGAGGCTCAGATAGAAAGAGCCCCGACCAGCTGACGTCTTCACTGGCCTCCTGAGACCCTCAGAAGAAAATAGTGATTCTGTGCCAGACTTCTGACCTGTGGGACTGTGAGGCAGTAAGTGAGTACTAAGTTGCTAAACTTGTAATTTTATTATGTCAGGAACAGAAAACCACTAGGACATATTTAGAGTTAAGGTTAAAAATTGGAAAATCCTGGATGGGGTCAGTAAGCTTCAGTTCTCTCCCTACTCTGATTACTTTAGATGATGCACAAATCACTTGTCCTTCCTGAGATTTCTTTTATGAGCTGAGTGTTATAAAATTTCTCCCATGTCCCATGTGACATCTATGGATGTTTTTCAACAAGTGTATGCCCTTTAGTGTGTAGCTCTATGAGTTTTAATAAATTCATGCAATCATTTTTATAATCAAGGTGTATGATGTGTGATCAAAAATTAGGTGAATGTTTAAATTTTTAAAAACATTACAATAAAAGATACATTGCTGTTAATCTCTTCCAAAACACTCATCACTTTAAAAATACATTCCGCCATTTTTGCCACTTCTTGAAGCAGTTCTGGAAGTTCCCCTTTGTGAGTGTCTTTAATTGTGTTGTGGTGACTATCTCAATGTCCTAAATTGATGTAAAACATTTACCCTCCATGGACATTTTTGACTTTGGGAAAGAGTCAGAAGTGCCCTGGTGCCAGACCTAGTGAGAAGGGTAGGTGAGCAAATATCATAATGCTTTGGCTTGACAGATTTGCTGTAAACATTTTGAGTGCTGAAGCAGGCACAGAAAGACACAAAAGAGGACTTCCAGAACTGCTTCAGAAAGTGACAAGAGTAATGGGATAAGTGTGTTTAAAATGAAGGAGTCTTTTGAGCATGATTAATGGCAGTGTGTCTTATTGTAATTTTTTTTAAGAGTAAGGAAGAATTTATTGAGAGAAAAAGCTTCTAAGAGGGACAGAAGGCCAGGAAAGTGCGTTGCCCATGTTGTAATTTTTTAACTATTCACCATGTTTTTTGGTCACACCAAGTAGAATGCTTCATGGTTGCTCTTAGATGAGAGAGACAAAATATAATTAAAGACCAAAATAAGAAGATAACAGAGAGAGGTAGAGCTCAAATGGGAAGGAGGTCAAGAGAGGGAGTGAGAGGAGAAAATGAAAAAAAAAAAAAGGAATTAAGGTGAGTTACATACATGCACCAAACCCCACAAAGAATATAAACATCTGCGAACATGTGCTAATAGACAGAAGAATGCTTAATCCCTCCAAACGTTTCTCAAGCAGTGCCTTTGTAGTCAGCCCTTCCCACTAACCCTACCCCTGGGATCATTGATCTATTTATTGTCTCTAGTTTTGCTTTTCCAGGATGTCCTATAAATTGAATCAAATAACATGTCATTTGATTCTGGCTTCTTTAGCATAATGCATTGGAGATTTATCTGTGCTGTGTCAGTAGTTTGCTCCTTTTACTGCTGAGTAGCATTTCACTGGATGGGATGTGTGTACCACAATCTATCTGCTCACCAGGGGACTCCTTGCTTTTCCGCATTTCCTTGTAAGTTCTGGGGTCTTCCTTTGTGCCCTCCTCCTTCACTCTGATGGGCTAATATGGCAGAGGCAGCCCTCATTCCCATTGTGTCTGGCTGGCGCAGAATTTCCTGGCAGGATTGATCATGTTTGGGATGGAGAAAGGCAAGCTACTGGAAAATAGCCCCTATTCCTTCTTTGCATCTAGCCAGGAAGCTGATGTTTCCCACTTAAGGCTAACTAGCTCTGAACATCAGTACTTAAAGCATGTTTTCTTTCTTTCTTTTTTTTTTTTTTTCTAATTAATTGGTCCAGAGTATCTCTATTGCATATTGGATTTAAAAAATTCTTTCTCCATCCAGGCATGGTGGTGAATGCTTGTAATCCCAGTGCTGAGGAGGCTGGAAATAGGATCACTATGTGTCCAAGCTGTGTAGTGAGACCCTTTACCAAATACATAAAAATAAAGCAATAAATATACTTTCTTTAGGGATTTTTTTTTTCCTTCCCTTTTTTTCTCATATGAATCTTTTTTTCTGGCCAGGTCCATAAAATTTAGGTGAGTTGGGATCTTCAAGCAACACTGTTTAGTGAGCTGAGGGTACATATATCTATGTAGGTCAGGATAGTTTGTGATACCCCACAAATTGAGTCTCCTTTCTCTAATGCCTAATTTAAAAAATAAAATTTCCTCTGCTAATTTTGTAACAATTAGCAAAATATTTTATTTCAGTAATATAGTTGTTCTGGTTTGTGTCTAGTTGACCCTCCAAAGCTTCCTGTAGTCATGGAGTGAACTTTAGAGGGGATTAACTCATGATCCACTGGAATTATAGGTGTGAGTACTGCTGAGATTATGGGTGTGAGTGCTGCTGGGATTATGAGTGTGAGTGCTACACCCAGCCTGGGGCAGATAGCCTGAATACAACCTAAGGTAGACAGATTTGCTCTCTGTGGCCATTGTTGCCACTACTCCCTTTTGCTCTTGTTCTCTTGCTCTTTGCTGCCGCCATGAGCTGCCACTCTGCCATGTTCCACTCTGCCTTGGACCAGCTGAGTATGGACTCCAGTAACTGTGAGCTAAATAAACCTTTCCTTCCCTAATTTTGAGCATTGGGTATTCGTCCCAGCAACAAGAAAAGAGTAACTGAGACAGTAACCAAGAGAGGACAGATTGCAGTGCCACAAAGTTCAAAAGGTGGTGAATGAGAAATGACTCATAGAAGCTTCTGGAATTGAGAAATGCATCACGTTTATTCTAGTGACAGAAAGCTGACTAGCACAACATTGTTACTGTGATTTTATTACCACTAATCTTGGCTTTCAGCGGTGCTTACTGAGCATTCCAGACTGTCCTACTCTGAATGTGGGTTGTGTATGGTCACAAAAGTTCTAAATAGATGAGAGCTGTTTCAAGCACTCATAAGGGAAACACTGTAAATGGGAGCGAGTCTGCACATCCAACACTGAGCTGGCTAATGAGTGTTCATT